AATAGCACAAGAGGAAAAACAAAGCAATAAGGTACTACCCAATATGATGAACAGAACAGCATCTCACATATCAATTCTATCACTCAATGTTAACAGTCTGAATGCCCCACTCAAAAGACATAGGCTGGCTTAATGGATGATAAAACACAACCAAAGTGTCTGCTGCCTCCAGGAAATACATCTAACCCACAAGAACTCATACAGACTCAAGGTAAAGGTATGGAAAAAAAATATTCCACACAAACGGAAACCAAAAGAGAGCAGGTGTAGCCATTCTCATATCAGATAAAATTGACTTTAAATCTACAATGGTAAATAAAGACAAAGATGGTCATTATATAATGGTAAAGGGAGCAATTCAACCAAAAGACATAACAATCCTAAATATATATGCATCCCTCACAGGAGCTCCTAGATTCATAAAGCAAATTATACTATATATAAACAAAGAGATAAATAGTAGCATCATAATTGCCTAAGACTTCAACATCCCACTGACAGAGCTGGACAGGTCATTAAAGCAGAAAATAAATAAATACTGGACTTAAATGAGACTCTAGAACAAATGGACCTAACAAGCATTTACAGAACATTCTACCCAAAAACTACTGAATTACATTCTTCTCATCAGCACATGGGATGTTCTCCAAGACTTACTATATCTTAGGCCAGAAAACATGTCTCGACAAATTGAAAAAAAATCAAAATCATACCGTGTATCCTCTCAGACCACAGTGGAATAAAAGTAGAAATCAATTCCAAGAGAAATAGTCAAATCTACACAAAGTCATGGAAATTAAACAACCTGCTGCTGAATGATTACTGGGTCCATAATGAAACTAAGATGGAAATCAAAGGATTTCCCAAACTGTATGACAAAGGGGACATAAGCCATCAAAATCTATGGGATTCAGCAAAAACAGTTCTAGGGGAAAATTCATAGCCTTAAATGCCTACATCAAAAAGACGGAAAGATCACAAATTCACAACCCCCTAATGTTACCTCTCAAAGAGTGGAAGACCAAACCAAACCCAAAGCCTGCAGAAGAAAAGAAATAAGAAAGATCAGAGTCTGCTCTAAATGAAATAGAAAACAAACAAAAAATTATAAAGGATCAATGAAACAAAATGTTGGTTCTTCGAAAAGATAAACAAAATCAATAGAACTTTTGCTAGATTAACCAGGAATAGAAAAGAAAGTACCCAAATAAGCTCAATGGGAAATGAAAAAGGAGATAGTACAACAGGTACCACAGACATACAAAATATTTTCCGTGAATACTATGAAAATCTCTACACACATAAACTAGAACACATAGAGAAATGGACAAATTCCTGGGAACACACAACCTCCCAAGATTCAGTTAGGAAGAAATAGAACTCCTGAACAGACTAATAATGAGCAGTGAGATTGAAGCAGTAATAAAAAAAAATCTTCCACAAAAAACAGCCCTGGACCACGTGGATTCACAGCCAAATTCTATCAGACCTACAAAGAAGAACTGGTACCCATACTGCAGAAATTATTCCATAACATTGAGAAAGAGGAAATCCTCCCCACCTTGTTCTATAAAGCCAGTATCACCTTGATGCCAAAGCCAGGAAAGGACCGAACAAAAAAAGAAAACTACAGACCAACATCCCTTATGAATATAGATGCAATAATCCTCAATAAAATACTACCAAACTGGATTCAAAAGCACATAAAAAAAATAATCCACCATGACCAAGTAGGGTTCATCCCAGGGATGCAAGCATGGTTTAACATATATAAATCAATAAATGTGATTCACCATATAAACAGAAGCAAAAACAAAGACCATATGATCATCTCAACAGATGTAGAAAAAGCATTCAACAAAATCCAGCATACTTTCATGATAGAAACCCTCAACAAACTAAGCATAGAAGGAACATAGCTCAAAATTATAGAAGCCATATATGGCAAACCCACAGCCAACATCATACTGAATGGGGAAAAGTTGAAAGCATTCCCCCTAAGAACTGGAACAAGACAAGGGTGCCCACTGTCACCACTTCTATTCAACATAGTGCTGGAAGTCCTTGCCAGAGCAATCAGTCAAGAGAAAGAAATAAAGGATGTCCAAACTGGGAAAGAGGAGATCAAACTATAACTTTTCATGATAATATGATCTTGTATCGAGAAAATCCTAAAGACTCCACCAAGAGACTCCTGGAATTGATAAATAAATTATTAGGAAAGTCTCAGGTTACAAAATCAATGTACACAAAGCAGTAGCATTTCTATATACCAATAACAGTCAAGCTAAGAGTCAAATCAAGGACTCAATGCCATTTAAAATAGCTACAAAGAAAATAAAATACTTAGGAATATACTTAACCATGGAGGTGAAAGATCTCTACAGGGAGAAGTATGAAACACTGATGAAAGAAATTGCAGATGACACAAACAAATGGAAAAACATATCATGCTCATGGCTCAGTAGAATCAACATTGTTAAAATGTCCATGCTGCCCAAAGTGATTTACAGATTCAAGGCAATCTTCATCAAAAAGCCAACATCATATTCCACAGATCTAGAATAAATAATTCTATGCTTTTTTTAGAACCAAAAAAGAGCCTGAATAGCCAAAGCAATCTTAAGCAAAAAGAACAATTTGGGAAGCATCACATTACCTGACTTCAAACCATACTACAAGACTATGGTAACCAAACAGCATGGTATCCCTACAAAAACAGAGAAATAGAATATGGAACAGAACAGAGAACCCAGATACAAAACCATCTACCTACAGCCAATTGGTTTTCAACAAAGCAGGCAACAACATACAGTGGGGAAAGGAGACCCTATTCAATCAGTGGTACTGGGAAAATTGGATAGCCACATGCAGAAGAATGGAACAGGACCCCTATCTCTCACTACTTACAAAAACTAATTCAAGATGGATAAAAGACTTAAATGTAAGGCATAAAACCATAATAATTCTGGAAGAAAATGTAGGAAAAACTCTTCTAGACATCGGCCTAAGCAAAGAACTTGACTAAGACCCCAAAGGTAATTACAGCAACAATAAAATTAAGTAAAGGGAACTTGATTAAATTAAAAAGCTTCTGCACAGCACAGGAAATAATCAACAGAGCAAATAGACAACCTACAGAATGGGAGAAAATATTTGCAAACTATACATCTGATAAAGGGCTAGTAGCTAGAATCTACAAAGAACTCAAACAAATCACCAAGAAAAAACAAACCACCCCATCAAAAAGTGGGCAAAAGACACAAACAGAAACTTTTCAAAAGAAGATAGACAAATGGCCAAAAAACATATGAAAAAATGCTCAACATCTCTAATCATCAGGGAAATGCAAATCAAAACCACAATGAGCTATCACCTTACCCCTGTTAGAATGGCTTTTATTAAAAAGTCCAAAAGCAATAGATGCTGGCGTGGATGCATAAAGAAAGGAACACTTATACACTGTTGGTGGGACTGAAAATTAGTACAACCTTTATGGAAAACAGTATGGAGGTTCCTCAAAGAACTAAAAGTAGACCATTGCATCTAGCAATCCCACTACTGGCTATCTACCAACAGGAAAAGAAGTCATTTTATCAAAAAAGACACTTGTATTCAAATGTTTATTGCAGGACAATTCACAATTGTGAAGATGTGGAATCAACCTAAGTGCTCATCAATTCGTGAGTGGATTAATAAAATGTGGTATATATATACATGGAGTACTACTCAGCCATAAAAAGAAATTAATTAATGTCTTTTGCAGTAATTTGAATGCAATTGGAGACCAGTATCCTAAGTGAATTATCTCAAGAATGGAAAAACAAATACCACATGTACTCTCTAATAATTTGGAATTAATCAATGAACACACATGGGCACAGAGAGAAGTAAAAGTCACTGGAAATCAAGAAGGGGGAGGAGGAAGAAGGGGAGGGATAAAAACCTACTTAACAGGTACAGTGAACACTATTCAGGTGATGGGCACACTCATATCCCTGACTTAAGCATTATAAAAGCTATCCATGTAACAAAAACATTTGTACCCCCTTAATATTTTGAAATTAAAAAGAAAGAAAGAAAAGGAGCCAGACAAGCTGGGCTCACATTCAGGCTCTACCACTGACCAGCCACATGACCTTGAGGAAATTTCTTGTCTTTGCCGAGTCTCAATTTCCTCATCTATAAAATTGAGATATTTATGGTAGCTTCCTCATGAGGCTGCTTGGGAGGATTAAACAGTGCTTAGCATCATGGCAGGCACACTGTGCCTGCTCAATAAATGGAAGCTGTTATTATACCTTACTACCTGACAGTCATTACTGCCAGATACAGAAAGAGGTGCCCATCAGGGACCAGGAATGTGTGGCCCTTGTGGTGAGAGTCAGATGCCAAGAAGAATAAGAGGCATAATCACACTCTAAGTGAAGACCTTCTCCCTACCCCCAGCACTCTTCACTGGGTCTTCCCAGAAGCTCACTGAATAAAAGCCCCAGCTCAGACATGTGGCCAGATGCTGAGTTCTAAATCCTAGCTGTGCCTTGGAAGCAAGATTTGAGGCCTCTCTGGGTCCCAGTTTCCTCCTCTGTGAAATGGTGCCATTCACAATTATCTCACAAGGACTGAATAACGTGACACAGCTATGCATGTGAGAGTGGTTTATAAACTATTGCTACAGTTCTGTTTGCTGGAATGGGCTCATTGTTTGTTAGGATTTTTGTTGGGCCAGGACTAGGGGAAAAGGGGAAGATTCTTATGTTTTTTCCAATTTTCCTTGGGGGCCTTTGAAATCTGTCAGACTTCTCTTAAACACCAAGTTCATTAGGGTTTTAACAACTAATTTATTCAATACATGGTCATTGAGGGTCTCCAGTGTGCCAGGTTTTCTGAGTGCTGGGGCTATAGCAATAAAAAAAGAAAAAGAAATCTGTTGCTTGAGTTTTGTCATAATTGAAGTGTAAAAGAGTTTAAATACAATCTTTTCTTTTTCCTGATTCTAGGCTCCTGATATGGGCTTCGGAACTGCACTTGCTCCACAGTTTATCTCCCTAAAAGAAATGATCTTTTTTGCATATGTACCTGAAAACGAACCTCAGGAAACCTTATACACCAAGAAATTCAACAATATACACTATGGAAAAGTGATCAACTCCGGGTAGTTAGTGATTTGCCTCACATTTGTTTAGATTGCATACTGGTTTTCAGATTCTAAATTTT